GTCCGACAATAGGGAATATTTAATGTGTACAAAGAGGACTGTGATTGGTAATAAAGGTAAAGAAGCAGGTTACAAAAACTGTGTGTTTCTCCCACTGCACCCCACCCCACCCCTTTTAAAGGAAGGAATATAGAGAAAGAACTGGAAGAATATAGTGCAAGAATCTCATGATGGTTGTTCCTGGATGGTAGGATATGATAATTATAATTTCCTTTCTGCACACCCATTTACCCTCCCTCCCTCCTTTGGATTACCTGTGTCTTCTATACTGACCCTGTCCAACAGAAATATAATGTGAGCCACATATATAATTTTAAACATTCTAGGAACTACATTTAAAAAATAAACAGATAAAATAACCTTAATAATATATTTTTAACCCCAATATTTCAGTGTTATCATTATAATATGTAATCAACACAAGAAAATATTAATGATATCCTAGATTTTTCAAAACACTCAGCCTTCCAAATCTGGTATGTATTTTACATTTACAGAATATTTCAGTTTGGGCCATCCACTTTTAAGCACCCAATGGCCATATGGCTTCCGTATTGGACAGCAAAGCTGTATAAAATTAATAGCTAACATTTATCAAGTGCTTACTATGTGCTAGGCACTCTGTAAACCCATTGGGTGGGGATTATAACTCATTCAATCTCAGGGTAACTCCTTAAGGTTGTTATGATTATTATTGCCTCCATAAGCGCATGTTGCTATTGTAATAACACCATGGTAAAAGTTTTGGAGCTTTTTTGCAAGTCATTTCCCCGATGGATGGGGGTGGAAGCCGAGTTGCAAAGGCTTATTGATTCAAGGGGAACTGAGGGAGTTAGAGATTAAACCTTATTCAAAACGTTTGATGGTGAAGAGAAGTTAGCAGAAACAGGAGGACCAAAGGCTTTTTGTGGGGTGGGGAGACCTGAAGGTGAAGTGGGCTAAAGAGGAGGGAGGGGGATGAGAGGTAAAAGGGAAATGGCCAAGAGATGTCCTCAGACCCAGCGCTCAAGGAGGACAACAAGGGCTCCGTTGGATAAACATGGCCTGGCCAGTGCTGGGGGGCATGATGGAGGCCACCGCTCCCCAGCTGGGGGTGGAGGTGGGGGTCATAGCGTGGGAGGCGGGGGGGGGGGGGGGGCGGGGGGGGGGGCGGCGGGGGGGGGGGGGGGGGGGGGGGGGGGGGGGAGTTGAACTGAGTGGTGAAGAATGAAGTTAGCCAGCAAAGAATCAAAAAGGGAGGGGATATAGGCTTGAGAAGTACTTGGTTACAAGACCAGATGACTGGATGAGGAAGATGAGAGAGCGAGGATCTGAGGACAATTCCCAAGTTTCCTGCATGAGCCAAGTCAGAGACCGGAAGGTTTACTGAGCGCCTCCCTGGAGTCACACATTGGTCCTGTGCACCACATACCAATCTCACTCACCCTCACAGAGGACCCACGTCATGCTTCCCCTTCCACAGATGTGCAAGCTGAGGCAAGATTATTGGCCCCACGTCTCACCATTAGTAAGTGGAAGAGTCAGGATTTGAGCCCAGATTATTCCAGAGATGGAGGGAAGGAGGAGAAAAATGTCGAGGGTCCAGAGCTAGGATCGGGGATCCAGGGGGGTGGGGGGTGGGGTGCAGGCAGGCGCTGAATGAAAAGGAAGCAGCTGTGTGGGATGGGAGGGCCCTCCAGCCTGAGGAAAGCAGGATCAGTCTTTGGGCAGAACTCAGCAACCTGGAAGGGAGGACAGGCAGGTGGAAAGGCAGGGTTGGGGAACAGAGGTGAGAGAAGGGGCAACAGGTTTGGTGTAAGGTGGGCTGCTGTCCACTGGTGAAGAAGAGGAGGCATTTGTGTACCCGATCAGCTGGGGGGCGGCAGAGGCAGAGACTGGCTGAGTGAAAAGGCCCAGGAAGAGATGGGGGCCAGGTGGGGAGCACTGATGCTAGATCCAGAACACAGTGGCAGGCTTAGAGGTGACAAGTTCTTCTATTAACCTACTGCAGAAAAAGTGACAATAGAGGAAGAGGCCCTAAGAGGAGCAGAAATAGAGGAAACTGGGTAAGGGATCAATATCTATAGAGGGAGGGAAAGGATGGAGAGAGGTTAGAGAGTCACAGGAGAGGAAAGCCAGAGAAAGGAGGCTGGGGAGAGGGAAAGGGGAGGGAGGATGAAGGTAGAACCGCCATCACCTGGAGTACCCAGTGCTCCCAGCACCCTAACCCTGTGACTGCCTGTCTGGAGAGTTAGCTGCAGCTGCGGGGGGGTGCGGGTGGAATGAGGATGGAACCTGAGCCAGACCAGGATCACTGAGCTGTCCCAGCTCAATCCAGACTGCGACCAGACTCAAGTCACGGGTCCTGTGGACTCTGTTTCTTCATGACAGCTAGATGTCAAAGTATTTCGCACGCACCACCACAAGGGAAGGTGTTATTATAAAGATCTATCAAGTTAATACGAATATGTATCCCCAGAACCACGCAGATGAAAACAGATGTGGCCGGTGTAGATGCAAGTCCAGAAATGGCCCGGTAGGTGGCCGGCTCTTCTACCTGCCCAGTTTAGCGAGTTCGCGGCCAATGTTCAGCCTCGCGGTGGGGTAGGAGGTGAGGGCCTGCGGCTGGACAGATGGTTCATCTCCGGCTGGGGGCGCAAGGCCCTGGGCAGGGTTAAACTTGCTCGGGCTCCTGTCTTCTCCGTGGCAGCCCCCTGTCGCCGCTGAGCACAGGCCCAGGCAATACTTATCCAACTGAATCCGCGTCCCCGTGGGGATCTTGCTCCAACAAAATACCCAGTCATCTCCTTCTATATAAAGCGAAAATCTCAAGCTGTGCCTTTGCCCAGCTCCGCACCCTCGCCCCCTTAGTGCTGTGGCCTGCTTAGGTCTCCACTCGGAGGAGCTCTCCCTTTCCAGGACTGAGGCTGAAGCAAAGGAGGAGGGGGAAGAAATAAATGAAAAGTCGGGGTGGGGGGTGGAGCAGCGAGACAGGGAGGGGGAACAGACAGCCTGAGACGGAAACCGGGGGGAGAGAAAGACAGAGAGAGAGAGAGAGAGAGGCCAGCCAGTATAGAGAGCCAAAAAGAGCCGGAGAGGTCGCAAAAGAGGCACAGGCGCTGGCCGCGGATTCGGTAACGATTCCTTCCGCAGGCGTTTCTGCCGCGGCTCCGCAGCGCTCGGCCCCGGGCTGCCCTGGACGCGCAGGGCTGCAGGGTGCGGTCGCCTCACCTCCCCCCTCTCACCGCCCCCTCCCCACCTCGCCCAAGGGGGCCGGAACGGCGTCGGCGCGCGGGGGCTTTTCGGAGCAGTCGAGTGGAAAATAGACTTTAACCCGCTTTGTGGCGACGAGGGCGCCCGAAGCGCTCTCCCGGACCAGGGCTCCCGGCACTCAGGCGGGCCACTCCCAAGACCCGGCCTGGAGTCCCTGCAGAGTCACGCGGCACGCGGAACCCCTGGCCTCGGGGCGCCGGCAGGCCCGGCCCGGATCTGCGCACCCGGCCGCGGCCGGGCCGCCCCGACTGACCCCGGCGGCGGCGAGGAAGCGGAGCGCGCTGCGGTCCCCTCCTTGCAGTGCGCTGGCAGGGTCCGTGTCTCAGCCTCCCCACCACCGCCCAGCGCCCTCCTAGGCCTCGGTGCGGTGTTTCCTGCGGCCTGGAAGGCCCGGGTGAAAAAGTTTGCGGAGTACTGGTTCTCCTCACTCTCTCACCCCCAGGAAATTATTGCAAGAAATGGAAACCTGACGGAGCAGAGTCGTCCGCTGCTCCGCGGTCGCAGGTGGAAGGTGAGGGTCAGGGGAAGCCAGGCGGCCGCTGCGTTCCCGGGATGGCTGGTGTGTGTATTCTTGGAGGAAGGGTCGACTTGCTCGGCCAGCTCCAAGTTAGGGCCCGAGGCCCGGGCCCGGCCTGGCCCGCCTGCACCTGACCCCCACGACGAGAGAAGGCGAGGAAAGCAGCAAATCGCCCTGCGCTGAGGCCCGCCGTCCCGGTGCGAGGAGAGCGCGGCCGCCGTGGCTGGGCCAAGGAGGTGCTTCCGAACCCGGATTTGCGGCTTGAGGTCTGCAAAGTGACCACTCCGGCGGCTCCTCTCGCGCTGTCCCCGGCCTGACCCCTTGTGCAAAGAACTGGGCGTCCCCTTTCTGGAGCTGTCCCTCGCAACACTCAGAAAACGCGAAACCTCACGAACAAGGCCGCGGCCCAGGAGACAGACGGTGGGTGAGCGGGAGGGCCCGGGAGGCCAGGGGAGCAGTGCCCTGGTTATCGGAGAACGTATTTACTAGGCAAAAAACACCCTCCCTCCACTCGGATCCAAGTTGTCTGAGAACTGAAACGACATCCCAGGATGAATTGGAGAGGGTTCAACTGAGTTACACATCGGGAAGTGGGGCTGGAGTTTCTACCAAGCCCCAGGCCCCTCGGACGCCTTCTTCGGCTCCCGCGTGGGCTGAGACGGTTGGGGAGGTCGCCAGACTCAGCTAAAAGGGCAGAGACGCGAAGAGAAGCCTGTGGCGAGGGGCGGGCGGGGGGTGGGGGGGAGGCCTAGATAGCCCGGCAAAGGCTCCAGTCCGCTTTTTGCCTCCGACTGCTGGCTCCTTCCCCACCCGCCGTCCCTCGCCCCGCCCCGCCCCGCCCCCCACCTTGGGGCAGGTGAGCGGCGGCCAATGGGCGAGCGCGGGGCAGGTGCCGGCTAACTCGCGCCTCGCAGCGCAGCGGCCGAGGCTGAGCTGGGCAGTGCTGGGAGGACCAGGGGCGGGGGTCTGTCCTGGCTGGACTCGGGAGGGAGGGGGCCGGGCTCAGCCCCCAGGCCGTAGAGGCAGCTCGCAGCATCGCACGGAACCCGCGCCAGTGCCCGCGCCCGGAGCTGCCCGCTCGGCCCCAGAGGCCGGCGCGCCTAGCTGCGCGCCGTGGCCCGACTCCGCGTTCTCTAGCTCTCACGCCCCTCGCCTCTCCGCGCCTGGCTCGCCGGCAGGGTCTGAGCGCGGGCGGGCGGGCGGGGGAGGTGAGGGGTGCTGGTGTGTGTGCATGTGCCTGGCTGGGTGCACACCCCGCACGGCGGCGGCGCCAGGACGCGGAGCGCTCCCCGGAGCCCGGCTGCCTCGCTCGGCTCTGGCGACCGCGACCATGTTCCAGCCCACAGCCAAGCGCGGCTTTACCATCGAGTCCTTGGTAGCCAAGGACGGCGGCACCGGCGGGGGCTCTGGCGGCGGGGGCGCCGGCTCCCATCCCCTGGCGGCGGCCGCCTCGGAGGAGCCACTCCGGCCCACGGCGCTCAATTACCCTCACCCCGGCGCGGCCGAGGCGGCCTTCGTGAGCGGCTTCCCCGCCGCCGCCGCCGCCGCCGCCGCCGCCGCGGGCGCCGGTCGCTCGCTATACGGTGGGCCCGAGCTTGTGTTCCCCGAGGCCATGAACCACCCCGCGCTGACCGTGCACCCGGCGCACCAGCTGGGCGCCTCCCCGCTGCAGCCCCCGCACTCCTTCTTCGGCGCCCAGCACCGGGACCCTCTGCACTTCTACCCCTGGGTCCTGCGGAACCGCTTCTTCGGCCACCGCTTCCAGGGTGAGTGCCCATGCTGTGCCCGCTTAGGCGGCCGGCGAGCGCCGGCGCTGCCGTGGCGCGGGGGAGGCTCGGGGGCGTGCGGGGCTGTTCAGAAGTTGTTGAAAGAAGGCTGTGGGGTCCGCAGAGGCCGACTCCCAAACCGGGAAGAGCCGCGCCGGATCCATATGCGCTTCTGGGGCGTTGGGTTCGCTCGCAGAGAGCCAGGTTGGGACCGCCAGGCTTGCCCAGAAACGGTGCGGGTTCGGACGCCAAGCCCGGGCGCCTCCATGGAGCCTCTCCTGATCCTCCCCGCGGCCTGCCAGAATCTCTCCGGGCTGAGCCAGTCCCAGCCCAGGGAGCGCAGCGCCCGCCGCCCCCTCCCTCTGCCGGGACTGGACCTGGGACCCTACTTCGCTCGCACATCCACCACCAATTCCCAGATATCCGCCCTCGCTGGCGCGTCCGAGCAGGGCAAAGTCCACCCGCGTGCCCCGGGTCTGCGGAGAGAAGGGGCAGCAGGAAGGGCAAACTGGAGAGTTAATGTTCAGTTTGGAGTGCTCCACCGTCTTGGGGTGTTTCTCACCAACCTCGACCCGACTTCTTCAGTCACAAGTGCCTCTCGGACCCAGGGCCGGGAAGGGTTGCAATAGCAACCGGCTTCCTTCGCCTTGCGCCTACCCGGCTGCTGCGGGACCGACGGCAGTCCTCCCAGGCAGGGGGCGGGGGCAGAGGGCTTATAAGGTCGTAGGCTAACCGAGCTCCCACGTCTTCACTGGGCAATAGGTTTGCTAATGAAGATCCCCCACTGGCCTTACAAACGCACACACGTTTCAATTATCTGACTTTCCTGAAGGAAAGAGAGTTGCATTTGCTGGAGTTCGTTTTCTTCCCTGAATTTGTTAAAGTTTGTTTCTCTTTTCTTGTCTTTTTTTTTTTTGAGTGGCCTTAATTTATGCAGTAATTGCTTTAGTTTCCAGTTTTATTTTGTTAGTGTAGACGGGACTGGACCTCAGCCTTTTGAGGTTCCATAACTCAGAGCAAGGTAACCCGGCTTTTAGTGAAACAAATGAAAAGGATATGGCTAGAGCTTCGGCTGCCAACCTAATCTGAGAATAAACCGCGGTCTACACAAAGTAAACCAGATGCTTGGTACCATTATTTAGATAACAGAAGAAAAATGATCTTTTGAAGCTTTGGCTATAGCTACTGAGCTGTTTCACGGAAAGCCACTTTCCTGGTCCAGTTTGTCAATTTGCTTAGTCCCATCTGACCAGTAGATACTGACCCAGCAGATCTCACAATATAAAAGACTGTAATTGCTTGAATAAGAATTTTTGTGGGCAGACTTGTCTCCCCTGCGATTTCAAAGATTTGCCCAAATCATGGGGTGAGGGAGGGAGCCTATGGTGTCAGCTGCTTTGGGCATGAGACCTGTCAATTATAACCATTGTTTACTGCTATAAATGAATGAAGTTTTATTCAAAACTGAGTAAACCGCCTCGGTGCTCCTTGGGCCCGGCCCAGCCTGGGTCTCAAAACCTGGCACCCATGAGCCGACCTGAGAGTCTCGGCTATTTCTGAACCGTCGGACCCGGGCAGTAGGGGGACCCGTGGTTAAGAGGCTGGTGCAGAGACAGGGGCTCTGAGGAGAGGGCAGAGCCGGTCCTAAGCCCTGCGGTCTCTGCTTATCCGGGGATGGCCTCCCCGGCGGCCCCGGCGGCGCCCTCGGCTTCGGACCCGGCGCCCCACGCCCTCCTCGCTGCTTTTCCCGCCTCTGGCCTCGTCCCCGCGGGCGCGGGCGCCGAGGGCCGGGGACACCTCGCGACAGATCCAGCTCCGGCTCTGAGCATTCCCAGCCAAGCGAGGCCAGATGAATTCTCCGAAAAAACCTTCTCAGAAATTGCCGCCGTTCTCTGAGCCATCAGTCCCGGCGGGCACGTTGTCGAGTTGCAAAAACGGTTGGATTTTTCTCTCAAGAGCCGTGTCTGGACGCGGAGATGGAGCCATGTGTGGCCGCATTTTTGAACTCGGAAATCCGTTGGACACGGAAGCACTTTTCCGACCCTGAGACGTTTCGGCTTTGGGTCCGGTCTTCGTCGCCGGTGGGGGACGGTGCGCGCCCCGGCAGCTGTGAGCCTGGCGGTCGCAGCGGGGCCTCGGGGCTGCGGGCCGAGCCGTCCCAGGCCCTCCGGCGCCGCGTTTTCTAGAGAACCGGGTCTCTGCGATGCTCATTTCAGCCCCGTTTTAATGCAAGAAACGAAACCCTACACGAACGAAAAGGAACATGTCTGCGCTCCGTGCGCAGCGCCCTCCGGCAGCGCGGGCCGGCGGGTGGGGAAGCGGCTTCTCCGCTGAGCTAGGCGGTGGAAGAGGAAGAGCCCACGCGGGAGGGTCTGGATCCGGCGGCGGCGTCCTGAAGCCGGTGGCCTTCGAGGCCTGAAGGGGAGGAGCCGGCGGAGACCGGGAGTTAGCCGCACTTCGGTGCCATTTCCCGGACTCAGGAACTTTCCAGACCGGGAACGGCGTCTGGAGGGGGCCCGCGAAGCCCCAACCCTCAGGGATCCGCGCTGGTAATGGGCCGGTGCTTCAAAGGGCGCCTTTGTTCCGGCAGGAGGAGGGGGAATGAGGTTACCTCCGCAGCTCGGCCAGCCTCGCCCACTCGTCGCCCCAGGCTCCTCCGCCCAGCCGGCCGGCCGTGGCCTCTCCAGAAGGGAGTGCAGGGGCGAGCGCCCGCACTCGGGATCGCTAGCTCCCACCTCCGGCCACCTCAGTCCTGGGAGTCTGTACTGCCAATCTTTGCCTTGAAAGGGCCTGCATCGCGAGGCTGGAGGAAAACGGGGTGGGGTTCAGTTCCTCCCGGCTCCCGGGAAGGCTAAGTCAGCCTCCTTCCACTTTCCCACCTCTCCTTGTCTGAAACGGACAGCCCACTGCCCCAGGCGAGAACTACTGCATAGAAACAGGCCACACTGGCCCCAGCCCCAAGCTTGTTCCCCTCTTGTGGTCCAGTTAAGGGAACCTGAAGCTGTGGTAGGGATGCTGAGGCCCCCTACCCATAATGAGAGGGGCGCAGGAACATCGGCCCCCAAAGCATCACTCTGTCCTTACAGAAACGTAGAGCTATCGATCAGTTTGTCCGGATAGTTAGTTTTGCACTAAACCCCCTCTTTCTTACAGGAAAAAAAAGCCTTGCTTCTTTTGAAATTCTATCTGTGATCACTTTTCAGTATCTTGAGTCATTTTCCTGCCCCTCGCTTCTTCATGGTTGGGTCAGAAGGACCCCTATATTTCTGCCCCTACATGTAGGCATAGACTGAAGGATACATTCTATCTGCCCCAACAGGACATGACAGTAAACCAAGCAACCTAGCTTTTTCTAAAATAGCCAGACTTGAGGCAAAGGGATGTGTGTATGTCAGAAGGACAGAGTAAGCTTGTTGCTTCCATCCTCCAGTTTGGGTTTATAAAGACAAACACAGAGAACACCACGCAAGGGACCAAACACATACTCTCAGAATTACAAAAGAGCCATCAAGTCATACACACCAAGGCAGACTGCAGTCCTGCTTTCTCAGCCACAGACTATCCTTGACACCCCTGCACCCCGTTCACTCCCATCTACAGGGTCTCTCCAGGCTGCCACCTCACTTTTGACCAGCCTGGGCCAGTTGAGCTGCTGAGGCCAATCCTGTGAACTTTGGGATGAGCGAGGCCTTCTCCCTGTCCAGCTCACCTGTCCAGAGGAAAAACCACTGTTGGGACTTCACCCAGGCTCAGAGTAATGCCATTTTTTGAAGCAGTTTAACATCAGCAAGAAGTGTCTGCTTCCCACCTACCTCTCCCACCTTTCTGTGGCCTTTCACACTGGTACCCACCTGAGATTTTCTCATTCCTACTTGGATCAGGCTCCTCCTTTCATTCCTTCTTTCCCTTCTCTGCCAGACCACCTCCCCTGATCATCTATTCCCTCCATCACCAGCAGTTAAACTTCCTCCAGTCAGGCCTAACAGCCCTGGGCCTGCCTCCACCTTGAAGGGCACTGGGCAGAGTGTCCCCCTCCATCTCCCCAGGATGTGATGCCACTCCCTTTTGTAGCTGCACAGATCCAGCCACCTTTTAAACGGGAAAGTGATTGTCAGGGGACTTTACCTCCCCTCTGGTAACCTTGTTCCAGAGAAGACCCCAGCAATACAGTTCACCTGTGTAAGCCTCCAAAGCCCAAGGACTTGGCAAAAGAAATGCCAGTCAGTTTCCACCAGCAGAGGGACATGAACAGTTACCTGGAGAGTTTTAGCAATAGCATCTCAATTACGTGCCCTTACTTCACTTACAGAGGTTATTTCCAGAGATGGAAGATGTCACTTGAGATCCAAACAATTGCCTTAAACAAAACAACAGGTCAAATTGGGTAGAACCAGTGGGCCATTTCTGAAGAAATTAAGTGGATCAGTCAATCTCAACAGCTAACTGTGTGAAAACATTCCTTCTAGGGCTCTTCCTTGTCAGTGGGTCAGGGGTACTGATATGTGCCACTGCATGAGAATCCACGGGTGATGTCAGGGCCTGTTTCACATCTGAGAGCATGTGTAACCAAGCCAGAGATTGTGTGAAGGCCTACTGGGGGGGAGGGGGTATTGAGCATGGGGCTGTGGGTGGAAGTTTATTTTGGCTTTTGTAGTTCCTGACCTCACCACCCCGGCCTTGTCCAACCCAGTGTCAACCCCTCCTCCTGCATGTAGGAGCTGAGTTCCCATGATGGCCAACATTTGCCAAGGGACAATCACACTCTTTGAAAATCCTGTATGGTAGATGGGAGAAAAAGACAGTAGGGAGGCTGGAGCATATATTTACACACGCCCATGCAGAAACCAATATATCTATATCTATATATATTAGAGAGAAAGATGACATCTAGATATTTATACACGTGTTTCTTCAGCACGGGACTATTCAGGGATGAAGCAAGGCCTTTTCCCACCAGAGAGCAGTAGGAGTCTCCTGGGGGGAGTGGGCTTTACCTGAAGGCCTGGGGGAGAGGCCCCGGGAAGGGGGAGGAAGAAGCCTGACCTTGGACCTTCAGGTGTTGCCTGGACACTGACTTAGTGGCTAGCCTATTTTTACCACTTGCAAGGTAGAGCCTGGGCCTGTTGGCAGGAATTTTCAAAGGGCTAGCAGCCTGAGCATTTTTAGCTGCATGGGTGGTTTTAACAGGTGTGAAAAGAGAGTGCCTTGGGTCCCTTCTAGTTCCTGAAAATGTTTGGCATGAGGTTGCTTAGCAGCCTCACTGTTCCCCTTATCACCTTCCTGACACTCAGCTCTGTCCCTACTCTTGTTGAGGGAGATAAGACAAGGTCAGGGGACAAAGAGAGCTAGGGGACTTCTCACATCTCCCGGCCCCGTCCGCTGCTCCAGGCGGTGTGGATTTGGGCCGGCTGGCGCCTCGCTAGGCCGGGGCCCTCCTCCTGGCCCAAAGAGTGATCCGCTGCTCGGCTTCTCCAGGCCTCCGGCGACCGACGGGGTAGCTCTGGAACCCTAGGGAAGTATTGGGGGAGGCGAGAGGAGTGGACTTAAGGAAGGAGCGGCACAAGGGAAAGGGGAGAAGTGGGGGTGGGAGTCCAGGATTGGAGAGGGTAACGGAGCGCCGAGGGCGTTTGCGAGCGGGGCCAGAGGGCCGAGCTTGGCCGGCTCCCGCGGGCGGCCCGGCGGCCGGGCTGCGGCTCACGGCGCCCCTTCTCTCTGTCTGTACCTGATGTGTTGCCGTCGGCGGCGCGGCAGCAGCGAGCGACGTGCCCCAGGACGGGCTGCTGCTGCACGGCCCCTTCGCGCGCAAGCCCAAGCGGATCCGCACGGCCTTCTCGCCCTCGCAGCTCCTGCGGCTGGAGCGCGCCTTCGAGAAGAACCACTACGTGGTGGGCGCCGAGCGGAAGCAGCTGGCCGGCAGCCTCAGCCTCTCGGAGACGCAGGTAATAATCACCCGGCCGGCGCGCGCTCGGCCCGCGAGCCCAGGTGGAGGTGGGGGCGGGCAGGTGCAGAGGGGCCCAGTCTCACGCCCCCGCCTTCCCCGGAGCCCTGTCCCACCCGGTTCCACAAGCCACCCTCCCCGCCCCCCCCCCCCCCCCCCCCCCCCCCCCCGCCGCGGCCCTCCCGCAAAGCCCGTCTGGAGAGCCCCTTCCCACCCGCTGCGTTTGGCCTCATGGAGGCCGCAGGACTTCTGTCAAGCTCTAAGGACCCACCAGGAGGTTGGAAGCAAAACCCAACCCAGCGTGCTCTCAAAGCCCATGGGAGGTGCCAGGTTCTCAGGAGGAGGCAGGGCGTGGAGGCCCACGCCGCAGTCACTCCCGAGCTGTCCCGGTGTCCACTGGAGCCGTCTCAGCCCTGTGGTGGCGGCCGCTCTTCTCCCGCCACTCCTCGGGGGTGCCCACGGCTCTGCGGGAGGCCCGGGCCTTTCCCCGCCCGGGCTTTGCGGCTGTTCATGGGCAGAGTTGGCGGGGGCCTCGGCTGCCCACCAGCGGATGTGGTGTGGGGAGAAAGCCCGCGTGTCGTCAGGCTATGAACATCAGAAGCAGAGGAATTAGCCAGACAGGGGCCAGCCCTGCTTGGGGTCCGTGGGTGGCGCTGATCTCTGCGCAGGCAGACTGGTGGGGCTCTGGAAACTGGTGTTTGGGGCGCGCAGACATGTGAGGCACCTGGGAATGGTGGGAAAGTAGATGCAGGGACTCAGGGACTGTGTTCACACGCTTGAAGGGCTGTTGAGTTGGGGAGGGAACGAACTCTAATGGCGTTGGAGAGGTTTTGACCTGGGTGAAATTACAGTAACCGAGTAGTATTTTTGTAATTGATAATTAAGAAAAGAAAATTTTAAAGAACTAGATTGGAGTTATAGGGAGGCAGATTTGGGTTTATTGTAAAGACTGCCATAAATAATTGCTGCCTGGAAACACCACCTAAGCTCCTGGTCCCTGGGAGTAGCCGCCACGCGCTGTAGGGGCCGGTTGCTGCCCTGGAGGCCGATTTCCGTGTCTGGATGGGCCTCGGGAGACCTTCTTCCCTCAAGTCCCTCACAGCTCCTAGATGTGCAAATGAGGGGGTTCTGCTCGCTGCCCAGCGGCTCCCACCCCGCCGGCTTTTTATCACCCTCTCCCCTTTCTTGCTGCTCTGGCCCCTACTACCTGCCATCCTAGTCCCGTGAGGAAGGGGAAGGGGGCAGCCTGGGGTCTCTGGGGATTAGTGAAGCTAGGAAGGGGGCCCAGTGGGGGAGTCCAGACCCTAAGTGCCTCCCCAGCTCCCCCGGCAGACATCACTCGCTGGTCCTCGCATCCTCTTTTGGTTTCTATTGTCAAGACGTCTTATCTGTCCAATGCCCCATTTCATCACATATTGCTCTCCTCTCCACTGTAGGACCCATGCTCTTTGGGCTGTTCTAACTGCAGAGATAAAGCGTACAAAACAACAGAGCTAATTTTTAAAATGTTTTAAAGAAATACATACTAAAAAAACAAGTTAATAAAATAATACCCTCGTTCCCTCCTGGCAAACAGTGTTTTAAAATTGTTGTCTAAAACAAGGTGTCAATTTAAGAATCGTGTTTATAGTTAACATCATTTAAAAAGTATTAGGTATTAAATTTTAATTGCAGAAGTGTAAGAAAACAAAATGGTTTATAATCCTCCCACCCACAGATTTAACACTTGTTGAAATAATGTCATTGTTTTTTAAACTTTCAATTTTTTAGCTCAGCGAGAGCATTTTTAATTAACTTTCTTTCAAACTGAATCTAGCTGCCTATTTGCTCCCAACAATGCCAGTTAGTAAATGTAATGATTGTTTCCTTCATTTTTATTATGTTTCAAACATATTTAAAACAAAACCAAATAGAATAATATAGTATATCCAGCTCAACTATCAAAACTCATGTCTAATCTTGTTCTATCTATAGATGAGCTGGTTTTAGCATATGGAACAAGAAAAAAAAAACACAATAGAACTATGGGAGGTTTGAGCCTGAGAAACCATCCTGTAGAGGCTCGTCTTTTCAGGTGAGGACTCTGAGATGGAGAGATGGACTGGGCAGAGCTCCCTAGGCGAGCAAATTGGATTTCATTATCTGCCTCCTTGCTGATTGACTGTGTGACCTTGTGTGAGTTACCCAACCTCTCTGAGCTCTGATTTTCTCATCTGGAAAATAGATTGTTTAAGGACTAAAGGCACCTAATAGGAACTGAAATAATATTAATTCTCATCCCCAGTCCTTCCCTTCCCTCTGTTTAAAGTAGTATGTATATCAAGTTAGTGTTACAGTAAGCCCCTCACCTGGGAGTCCTGACTTGGCCTAGTGTTTCTTCTGCCATAGCTGGTCTCCTCCATCACAGCTGTCTTTCTGTCCCTCGTGTAACTTACCATTAATTATCCATCTGTCAGTACTTACTGGGCAAGCCTACCTGTCATTTCCAACTACTGGCTATTTGTCAGGCGTCCGTCTCTACCATCAGTCCCCTACCATCTATTTCTGTCAGTATCTACATTTGTCTCACAGAGCTCTCCAGTCCGTCCTGCACAGATAGCTGTTTTGTATCTAGCCACGTACTTCTGTCTGATCTCATTCAACTGCCTTTCCAAAGCTGGTTGACTTATACTTCGTATTTTCTATTAATTACGGTCTTCTTCTTCCTAACAATAGCTCTCAGTTACCCAACTGCTGATTATTTCCTTATCCTCTATTCTGTTTCGTCTTCTGTGTATCTACCATCCATCTCAAGTCTCCATCTCTCTAGATCTAGGTAGCTACCGACAGATAGCATATTCGTATGCCTGCAAGTTCTTGCCTATCATGTCATCAGCTCTGCCTTTGTCTTCTTTCTGGGCCTCCATTGCTGTATCTGTAAGATTTGATGAAATGAACTCTGTGGTTCTTCCCAGCTCCGAGTTTCTGGCTCATCTATATTCTGCTTCTCTGTGTTTCTATATGATGCTTCCTCCAAGTTCTCAGAGCTCATAGTACATCTCCCGTATATCATAATACACATAGGACTTTGCTGCTGTGAAATTATCCACCGTGTCCACATGTCACTCTGTAGACTGGCTAGATGGATCTCTCGAGAAAATCTTAAAATACAGATTCCCAGGCCCCATTCAGGAGATTCTCTTAGGAGTTCCAGGATAGGTTCCAGGAAGTGTTTTTAAAACAGCTCTCTGGGTGATTCTGATGAACAACAGGCCAGCTTGGGAGCCAGAGGTCAAGCCTTCCTGTTTCCCTCTATACCCTAAGGTCCAGCTCAGTGACGAGCAAGGAGTCGATACCCCGTAAACACGTATTGAATGAATAGGCAAATTTCTTTTGATTGTACACATATCCATGTGTTAACTTTATCAGTCATTTCCCTTGCTTTCTGTAGTCACTGACCCCTCCCTGTCCCTCTGTTTTCTATTTTTCCCTTGCACTTTATTTTAGATGATCTAGTTTTATCCACCAGTTCATGGATAAAACTCCTGGTAGGGTTAAGGAAATCAGTGTGTGGGTCTTCATCCAGGGCCCAGGGGTCTCTGTATGCTCAAAGCTTTAGTATGGAGTGTTGGGAGGTGGGCCACCCAAACTTCTTTGTTGGGGCAGGTTAGTATGTTTGGTTGAGAGTTGGGTATTTATGCTGGGATGGCCACAGGTCAATCCAGGAAGTGGAGGGAGTGGTCCCGGGAAAGGGTTAGTTCTCCTTTCTGGCTCTGATTACTTTCTCCTCACTGCTATGGTGCAGCCTCAGAGTCTGACCCGGATGACTGGATGATGCCCATCTAAGCTTCAGTCCTGGTGGGGCAGACCCGGATTTGGGTCAGATCAGAGCTGTGAGTGGAAGTGTGAATGTGTGTGTGTGTGTGTGTGTGTGTGTGTGTGTGTGTGTGTGATGGGTGTGTGTAACATGTATGTACTACAATGTGGGGCACGTACAGGCAGTGTGATTGATGCCCAAAGGTCAGGTGATATCATATATACACATGGCGTAGAATGCAGCTCGGGTGCTTCTGGGCATGCGTGGGGGTGGCACATTAGTGTTATGGGGAATGAGAGAAAGCATTTGGTTGCTCCAGGCTGATCAATTGGTCAGTGTTTCCAGCTGCCCGTTCTGCTCTGAACAGTTTAGCAGGTGTTTCTTCACCTTCTCTGGCTTTGAGTTCAGTTGAGCCATGAGGGAAAGGGGTGTGGAAATGGAGTCCTTAGCCTTGGAGATTCCTCCTTTAGTGATGGGGGCAAAATGTAAAGTGTGCACACTTGTAGAATATGCACAATGAGTGACTGGAGTCTCCTTGTTTTTCTTTTGTTTTTTAATTTTTTTATTGTGACTGGAGTCTCCTTGAAGTCACAGCTGTGGGCTGAGGGAAGTGAGGGGAGACCTGCATGGGTGGAAGTTTCCCAGAAGACTTCAGGCCCAGAAGGCTTGGAGGGATGCATGGGATTCTAGGTTGGTGGGAAGGAAGGGGAGGGTTTGAAGTAGGTGGATTAAGACAGAGCAGGAGGTGTCAAGTCTGGCCACCATCTTGGGGCCCAAGAACAGGTGGGGAGGTCTTAGAAGGAAGGAGTGTATGGTTACCTGCCTATGGGTTCCCCCCCGCAGGGGAATTGATAAGGAGACTTCTTGGGGTCCATTCCTGCTCTGAAAAACTCTGTTTTTTAAGGGATGGATGAGAAGGAGATATCCAAATGACTTGAATTTTAGGGAAAGGTCAAGAGGCCTTTGTTACTAGCTCGCTGTCGGTTCTGAGATGGACTCATCTCTTCTCCAAGCCTTGGCTCTTCTCCAAGAATTTCTGCATCACTTAAGGTCCAGAGTCCAGTGGGAAGCAGGACAGGGCAGGGGAGGTAGGGAGACTGGAGTGGGTCCCTAGGGCCTAGTCCTGAAGAGGCAGATGACTCTGTGATGTCTCTCTGAGAGTGAGGGCAAGCATCCAGGATGGCCTGGTAGAGGAGGAGACAAGGCTTAGGATGAGTTGGGCTATAGTTGATGGGGAGTCAGAGGTGGCTTCCGTTTGGTGGGTCTAGCATGGCATTGGGCTTGACCCTGAGAGTGGGAGGAGCCCATATGATCAAGTAATAAGAAATGGATCCCCAGCAGAGGGGGGTATTACCTTGATAGGGTGTTTGAACTCCTTGAGGACAAGTATTCTCCTGAAAGTATGCAGGCAGGAGCTATAGACTCTTCCATTTGGGATGGGCTAAACTTGGGGACCAGTGGAAATGAAGGGATCCAAATCTGGGTCATTCAAATAGCAGGTTATTCAAAAGTTAAGTCTGAAATAATTGGCTGGAGCTGTAGTTTGCTTGTGTGTTAGTTCCTTTGTCCATTCATTTGCCCATTAATATGTGCACACCTTCATTAATGTATACATGCATCAGTCAGTCCTCTAATGCATTAATGCATGCATGCATTCATTCATTCATCCACAACACCTTCCTCATCCTGTTTGATTCATGCTGACCCTTGTGCCTCCCAACAATAAGTCTCCCTCCCTGCCCCAGATTCTCCCTAGGAGTGGTTAATCCAATCCACAACATGGAGAATTAAGAATTGACCCTTTGGAGAAGTGTCCACTGGACTATGCCTAAAATCTCTCCAGCAATTGCACCTCCCAAACCCCTTTTCTGATTAGACCTCAATCCCTCCATTGTTGATTTTCTTGGGCTCTCCAGTTCTGGCCTAGGCACCTCTTACCAATAGCACAGTGTGAGGTACTTCACCTGTGCCCACCTTGCTGAACAGAGTGGAACATGCCCACTGGGACTCCAGCGTAGACTACTACACTGCTTTGGTTCTCCAGGTTCCCACGGCCTGATGAGACAGAGGTTCGAGCAGGTAAATGAACCCACTGCTCGGGTCACTGTTGCTGAGACAGGGAAAACTAAGGAAGCACAGACAGGCAGTGGGGCACGTCCAGCCCAGGTACATCTGAGCAGGATTCTAAAGGCTAAGTAAGAGTACTCCAGGTGGGGTAACTCAGGCAAAAGTGGAGAATCTTGGAAGGATCTGGCTTCTCTGAAAAACTGAGACATTCAGTGAGGCGGGGACTTGGGAGGCCACAAGGAACCTCTCTCCAAACCCAGAGGAGTCACAGATGGGGGAGGGGTTCCTTCAGCCAATATCCCAGCTGTGCCTTCGGGGGCTAGTGTGCAGGTATGGTGGAGAGGCAGGTGCAGAATAAAGACAGCCTCGCAAAGCTAGCTCCCACAGAGCTGGGAGCCACTGCATGACCTGGTTCCTTTCTAGGGCCTCTGTCCTCCAGGGAAAGGGCTCTGGGGTGACCCCAGATTGCCCTGCTGGGTTCCGGAGGTGTCACTCTTGCCTCTTACTACACTCAGAGCCCAATTCTTTTTCTTTTTTCTAAATAAAAAATAACTATTAATTGTTATCAGTGATGCATTAAAGAAAAGTGGAAAGAAGAAAGAAAGGTCACCCCACACGTTAAGTACATTTCCTTCTAGTCTTTTTTCCCCATGCATAGATTTTGTTTTCCCATGGTTGTGATCACACTGTGCCCAAACTGTATCCTGCCCTTTTCACTGATATCATTAAGTCATAAGCATCCCCCTGTTATTACAGTCTTTGTAAACAGCATCTGGTCATTCAGCCTAAGGCTGTTCACAAGATAGCCAGTCTGCTTAGGGAGACAGTTTACCTCCCTGTTTCTAGAAAGCTGCCTCCTTGACCCAGGTTGTTTTCATGAAGAAAATATTCAGGATCACCTTTCATTTGGGTGTGCCAGGAAAGCTGGCCCTTGCCTGAAAACATAACATGTGCCTGGAGCTCCACCACTGATAACTTTCCTTCTTTGGGCCAGTGTTGTGGGGCAGGGTAGCAGGCTGGGTCCATCCCACTATAGATAAGTCTCCTTCCTGAAAGGAGACTTGGAGTGTGTGTGAGAGGGAGAAGGTGCAGAAAGGGGCCAGCTGTCCTGGTGTTGCCCAGAGCTTCCCCGGGTTGCCCCATCACTAGGCTGGGCACGCTTAGGCCTCGGCCAGCCCCTTGGCCTCTGAAGAATGCTGCTCCAGCCCTGTATCCAGGCCTGAGTCACACACATGCCTTGCATAGGCGCTCACCCACCGACTGGCTGGCATAGTGTCAGTGGGCTCTAGGATAAGGGGCCGGGACTGGGCAGGGGCCAGACGTGGTTGTGCTGAGAACCACCCAGAGCCCAGCCCGCCCTGTACCCAAGGAAAGATGGTTATGGGATCTAGAAGTTTTGCACCCAGAGTATCTACCGTTTTCCTTTGTCTGTCTGAGGTGAGACATGCAGGCGATGGGTTTGCACCCTGCCTTAGAGAAGAGAGAAGAAGATCCTCCTCTTACACCATCCACTGAGGCCAGGTGCCTCATTTCTTCCTGTCTCTGGATGGCTGCCCCCACCATCCAGTGCTCTAAAATTAAGGGCAGGGCAGACCCTGGGGAGGAGGTGCTATTAGGGGAAGCCTTGGATTGGGTGGGCTCCATGAAGTGGACAGGGGGTGGTATCTGGGAAGGCAAAGGTAGAGCGCCCTGGGCAGGAAAGTGCTCCCTGGGCCCTGATGCTGGGCCTGCTTTTGGCCGCCACTGCCTAGCTCTATGGCTACGGCCTGTGCCTTTCCGCCATTCTCAGGGACTAGCAGCTGCACTAAGGGTTGTCTTCTGAGGACTGCCGCTGGCCCCACCCAGGGTTCAAGGATCTTCCCTCAGCAGTCACTGATGCTGCCAAAACCAAGGTGCCCACCGTCATTCCACACACACAACTTCCCACTCACCACTGGCAAGGACACCAGGGGTCACCCAGCAGCAGCCGACAGCACCTACTGGCTTTGCAAATGAGCTGTCGATTTCAGGAAACCATCCACGTCTCATAACCCTGCCATCTCTGTGTCACCTGCCCCAGGGACCCTCTGGAGCAAAAGCCCAGGAGGTGCCCCGGAGCTGCAAGGCCCCCAGAAAACATCTCTCCTACAGATGAAGGACTTAAGCAGAGCAGGGAAGGAACTTAGCAAAGGATCAGCACCCAGGCCCACTTTTACCAACTCTGAGGATGGGGTGGGGGGATGGCCTGGCTCTGCAAGGCCAAGTAAAGAACCACAAGGTCAGGAGGAGTTGACAGATGAGTGAGGCTTCCTCCACAGTCCTCGAACACTAAGTCTAGTTAGGGAGCAGGGATAGCCCTCCTTGATCATGCATAAGAGGACATTTTAAAGGCTGTATCCTGGACACGGAGCAAATGCTGGGGGAGGCGGGAGAAGTGAGGGGTGATGAGAGATACGGCTAAATCTGGGGAGGCTTCCTGGAGGAGGTGAGCTTAGCATTGTTGACCTGTCCCTCCAAGCCCCCACCACCCATCACAGAAGACAGTTGTCTGCTTTTGAACCCTCCCCTTGTCAGGACTCTCACTGCCTGACACAGAAGCGGGGAGCCCTCTCTGTTTAAAGAGGAGCTCACTGCGATTTCTCCTATGGAACCTGTTCCCATATCTGGATGGGCTGTAGAGGCCAGCACTTTGGGGGCAGGAAGTTTAGAGCACTGCTCCAGGTGGGGCTGCAGACACCCCTCTGTCTGAGGAGGAGGAGGCCTCACTGGTGGGTTTCAGACTACCCTGAGTAGCTGCCCCCTGAGGGACCAGCCTTCCCACCTGCCCAGCTTCAACCTCTGATGTGGGATGGGGGGAATTCCACCTGCTCACAGGGTCCCCTGGAGAAAAACTGACTGACCTGGATGGTGTGTAAGTTGGAACCTTGAGTGGTACGGGTCTGTGACCCTAGGAGTGCTCTGGCTGTCCTGGGCAGTGCTCTTGGTATGGAGGGTTAGGTAGCCATGTCCGCTCTGCCTCTTTGGGCTGCAAAGAGCATAGGGTGGCCGGGGGTGGGCGGCACATCAGGCCCACAGGGTGCTCATCAGGACTCATGCGATGGCTTTTCATACGTTCGCCTACTTACTATTTACCTCACCTCGTGAAGGAGAGCTTATTATCTCTTCTCTAGAAGGCGGTAGGGACCTGGGTCTGCTGGGCTCCTGAGCCTGTACGCCTCCCCTCTACTGTGCTGTGGCTACGGGATGCTCGGCAGCCCCGTGATGGCTCCCTTTCCTTTCTGAGAGGGACTGGAAGATGGCCCCTCTTGGCCCTCACTCTGCCCTCTCCCTGCCCCACCTCCCTGACATCTGGAAGAGTAGTCTTTCAGACCCAGCAGGTGTCGCGGGGCCAGAGGAGAGGCCCTTGGCCTTGGTTTCCCCATCTGGCTCCCAGCTCAGCCTGGGTGCTGAGACCCCAGTAGCTGCTCTGGGGGCCTCCTGGGTGTTTCTTACTTCTGCCCCTCCCTCCCCGGCCCAGGTGAAGGTGTGGTTCCAGAACCGGAGGACAAAGTACAAGCGGCAGAAGCTGGAAGAAGAGGGGCCTGAGTCCGAGCAGAAGAAGAAGGGCTCCCACCACATCAATCGGTGGCGCATCGCCACGAAGCAGGCCAATGGGGAGGACATCGATGTCACCTCCAATGACTAGGGTGGGCAGCCATGGATCCACGAGGGCAGAGCATCTGCTCGCTGCTGGCCAGGACCCCGGGTGGGCCCTGCTGGACTCTGGCCGCTCCCCCGCCAGGCTTCGGGGAGGCCTCGAGTCACGGCCCCACAGGGCTCGGAGCCTGGGGCCACCACTGACAGAGGGACAAGAAATGGGCTGGCTGAGGCCTGGGACTCCTCCACCTTTTCCTCAGAGAGCCCGCCTGCGTGGGCAGGCCGCCGGCCACAGCCACTCTCCACTTCTCTTATCTCCTGCGTTTCTGTTTTAATTTATTTTCCAGGCACCCGCTGTAGTTCTTAGTGATCCCCCTGTATCTCCCTTCCCTATGGGAATAATAAAAGTCTCTCTCTTAATGACATGGGCATCCAGCTCCACCCCTGGAGCCTGTGAGCCCCGGGGTGGGGGTGGGGTATTCCGGCTCTGGGGACCAGAGGGGACTGGCAGAGCAAGCTTGTACAGCGCCTGGGAGCCTGGGGTGGGGCCTGGGAGACTCAACTCTGTTGGTGGTCCACCCTGGTCTCTAGCTCCAGCTCTAGAGCAAGGGAAACTGAGGCTAGACATGGGGAAGGACCACCCTGTGTCTTAAGGGAGGCTATCTATGCTCTGGTCTTTCCAAGCTTATTGAGCGGTGGGAAACGCCCATGTGGGTCAGGGGAGAGACCGAACATGCCCACTTCTGCATGCTGAGAGACTCTGGTGGCTCCTCTTGGCCCTCACTCTGAGGAGAATTGAGGAGAAACTAGAAGAAAAAGGGAGTATTGGGAGCTGGGGGCAGAGCACCATTCACAGAAGTTGACCATCCCAGCCCCACGTCCTGGCCCCACCGGGATGCTCATCCATCCCCGGAGAACCCCCCCGCCCCGTGCAGATGAAAACTTCTGAGTTGGGGTGTAAGGCTGGAGCCTACAACCGGTCCCCAAGGACGCAAGGCCTCTAGCCGGGAAAGAATAACAAGGCAGGGCTCGACTGAGCTCTTTAGTTCATCTGCCCTTCTGCTCATCCACTTGCCTTTCCTGCTGTCACACATCAAGGTTTCCTTCATCCTTAAAAAGCAAGACCTGTCTTCCTAACAACGTTTCTCTTACGACGTCCAGACCTGTCTCCACTTCTTCACCTCCCATGTGCTCCCCAACCCTCTCACCAATCACCAATTCCCGCCACCCGTGGGGGCCAAACTCAGCTGCCGCCCGTTTGGCTTCACCTGTAGCCCGCTCTTCCGGCCATTCCCTCCTTGACTCCCACACCCCCCTCTGCCTTCATTCCGGTGCCTCTGACACCGTCCCCTGCCTCTCCAGGTCTTCCCGTCTTGTCCTGGCCTCGTCGCCCCTGTCCACTGCAGGGCCAGCCCTTGCGCCTCCTGCCTCTTCACTGTGCCCTCCACCTGGGGCTTCACATCCATGTGCAGGACTTCTCCTGGCGCCCTGGGCTCCCTGCAGGCAACCTCTGCCAAGCCGCAGACCCACGAAGCCCGCCGCCCACATCTGCTGCACTCCAGGCCTCCCGGCACCTCGAACCCAACACGTTCACAGCTGACTCATCTCCCCACCTGTTCTCCTCCAGGATTGCCCACCTCGGCAAACGGCCAAGATTTCTTCTACCTTGGGAAGCAGTGTACATGGCTCCTGGGGGGTGGGGAGGGGAGGGAAGGGAAGGAGTGGTATGTGTAATAATGTGTGGATGTCAGAGATGAGGCCCCTGCATACTGTGGCTAGGGTTCTCTTCCTTGAGCCCACAAGGACTGTGTCACACTCATCCTAAGCCCCCCACCCTACCCCCATTTCTTTCCCAGCCTTGGCCTCTGCTACCTCACTCCTGGTGCCCTCTGCTTCAGTCTCGCCCATGTCATCCCTGACCCCCTGTGAGCCATGGGTTTTGCCTGTGCTGTGCCTTTACTCATGTTTCTCTTGGCTCCTGGAATGTGCTGGGGGCTTGATCCATGTTGACGTCAATGTTGAAGACTTGCCTGGGGCACGTGCAGGGATCCAAGCACGGAAGGTCCTTTTGCTGGGACCGTCAGCATCTCACTTGGGTCCGGTCAATGCTAGAAACCAAAGGGCTTTTTCCCATCCCAATGGCCCTCCCCATCCCAATGGCCCTCCCCACCCCATCAACCAGGAAACACATTCCCCACATCTTGAAAGTCCTAACCTCAAAGCGCATTGTCTCACTGCCAAGCAGGTGGATAACCTCTGGGGAGCATGTACCCACAAGTGGGCTGAGGTGGAGAAGGGGAGGTGTCCTTCTGGCACTGGTGGGGGCAGAGGAACGGGTGAGCTGTTCCTCTCAAGAGTCTCTCACTTGGTGGGGGAGGGGGCGCAGGAGGATCCCAGCAGAGTAGCCCCTGTCATCCAGATAAAGGGCTGGAAAGGACCCAAGGAAACCTGCCAGTCTTCCTAGGCCAGGCCTGCGTGGGGCGGGGCGGGAGTCCCCACTGCACTCCCTCCACCCCCCCCCCCCGTGTTGTGCCTCTCCCTGCAGACGGTAAATATTGGTGTTGTGACTTCATTAATAAAGGCTTCTGTGAGCCTGAAAAACATGGAATCAGGATGAACTATTTTCTGAGCTGCCGGCTTGCCAGGTTTGCTAATTTGGGAGTTTTTGGGCCCTCTCCAGGGAACAAACCAAAGTTTCTCTTGAAGAGACACAGATGCAGCCGGGAAGGGGAGAAGAAGCTGAGGAATGATGCTCCCGTCCCTCCTTTGACTGCTCCTTCCTCTTGGAGATCGGGGCCCTGCAGGTGGACGGGTGGACAAGGGCTGCTTGGCCAGGCGTTCCCCAAATGAGCCTGGCGATGTCATGTCCCCCCCCCCCCGCCCCCCCAGCTGGGCTGGCCTCCCAGGCCCTGCAGAGTCAGACGGCTACGGTACTGATGAACAAGAGACAACCCCACGCTGCATGTGGCTTAAGTGGAGGGAACACGGTACGGGGCAGCTGTTCTTAACTCCCGTGGCCCAAGCCATGTGCCTCAGCTTCGGGGAATGATCTTCATGCTCCTCTCGTCCACGGAACTTCCCGAGATTAGTCCCCACAACTCTGTAGCTGCATGGCTTGTGATCTTAGCATCTCTGCGCTTGGTTTTCACCAACTCCTCCTCAGGGGTGCTGTGACTGCTTCCCATGGGGCTTCACGGAACCCGTGCCTAGTGAACTGGGTTCCGCCCAGGAGGGAGCCAGGTGGGGGCCGGCAGGCCTCTGCTGGAGCCCCTGCTCCCGGGCAGCCATGCAGGGGGAGGGGCAGGGAGGCCAGCAGGCTGAGTGGTGCAGGCCCAGCCAGCTTTCCTGTCAGACAGGCGCTGCCAATGCGGAGCCAGACATCGGGAACAGGTTTAACCAATTACCCGAGCGCCCCATCTGCTGTCTGGGGTGTGTGTGAGGGTGAGTGCATGTGAGGGTGTCTGGGAGTGTCTGGGAGGGCTGTGGGCGTGTGCGCGCGACTGTGACTGTGTGGGTGTGTGTGGGCGTGCGGCGGGGCACGTGGGCGGGGTGTGCCGCCTGTCCCCGTCATACCCCCTCATTTGTCAGGCTGTGGCCACCAGCTTAGGGTCTTCCTGTCTCCCCAAGACCCGGGGGTCTCCATGAGCAACCCACCCAGCGCCCCAGGCCCCCATTCCCCACTCCCCTCCTCACCACTCTCACCCCCAGGGCTTAACGAGAGCCCGCAATCACGCCTTCTTCCAAATCGCACATTCAGATGTCTTTTCCTATCAGACCACACGTTCTTCCCGCTCACTCGCTCAATTTCCTGCTACATCCGCGCTTTGACCTCCTCACAGGCTGCTCCTGGCCACAGGCCCCTCTGTTCTCTCTCCCACATCCCCTGGTCCCACTGCTCCTTGGTTGCACCTGCCCGGCAAAAATCACAAACTTGCTCGAACCTGTTTCCTCATCTGCCCTTGCAGCTGAGTCTGTGAGGACATCAGACAAGCGTGCTGGATGGCACCCCTTGAAGTCCAAGGTCCCAGCCTCAGTTTAGGTTGATAAATCCACTCCTGTTCTCCACAGGGGATGTCTCAAACAGTCACCCTTCTCCCCAAACCGCTTTCCCTGCTTACCCGCAACAGAAGACCTTATTTCCATCTCCAGAGGGAAATGAGAAGCTCTGGAAGAGAACACCTTCATATCAACCGGGGGACGGGAAGAAAGAGATAGGCTCTTCAAATGGGGCGGTCTGAGGAGGGTTGGATAAAGGAGCAATTCACAGATTTTGGGACCCCAAGAAGAGCTGTTGTAGTGCCCCAAGCTAACAACAGTGGCCCACAGCCCTGGGGCCTGAAGAGGCAGGGGCAGGAGCAGTTACCAGAACCTGAGAGGACAGACGGATGGAGATGGCCCCAGATAGGAGCTGTGGCCTTCAGTAGCAGGGGGCCCAAGGAGGCAGGGGAGGCCAGGGGAATGAATCGGCCAGTGTCACTCCCCTCAAATCCTTCACTGGGGACTCCCAATCCCAGGAGCCAGACGGCAAGTCCATACGAGTCAGCCTCCCGGGACAGAGAGCGGGTAGAGAATGGTGCAGAATGGATCTGGGGGCCCCAGGCAAGCTAGCCTCTCACGCCCCCAACCTCCCACCCTCAAACCCACACCACCCCCGTCCTGTTATCCCGAGACCCTCCTCTCCTTCTGGCCCGCCCCTCTCCTCTCTGGGGACCTCACTTCTCTTTCCTGCCTCCCCAGGCTCCTCCCTCTCCCCCGTTACTATCCACATGCCCGAGTGTTCCTTCTGACGCCTTCCCTTAGCCCCACATGGTGCTGCAGCCATTGTCATGTCCCAACGCCCAGCTCACAACCCAATGTCTTGGAAATTCTTTGTTTTACAAGTTAAGGTACACGGGCGGCCAGTCAGAGTCCTACTAACTTCCCAGCCCATGGAGACCTCGCTTTTGCCTGACCACACTCCACTGAGACTATTCTCTCCAGGTCCTTCCGGGGGACATGCTGTGTGTCCATCTTCCTCACCTCCCAGCACCTGTTCAGTATGTGGACAACCTCCCCTACCGGAAGCATCCTCGTCTCTTGTCTACCCCGTTCTCCTCATCTTCCTCTTACCCCTGGCATTAAAGTGCTGGGGCCGTCAGGACAAACACCACAGACGGGGCAGCTTAAGCGACAGGGATTTATTTTCTCACAGTTCCGGAGGCTAGATGTCCGAGCTCAAAGTGCCAGCAGGGCTGATCTCTCCTGAAGCTTCTCTTCGTGGCTTGAAGGTGGCTGTCTTCATGTTCACATGGTGTTTCCCCTCTATGGATGTCTGTGTCCAAATTTCCACTTCTTATACGGTGACCAGTCATACTGGATGAAGACCTGCCCTCATGAGCTTGTTTTACCTTAATGACCTCTTTAAAGACCCTACCTCCGAATACAGTTGCATTCTGAGGTCCTGGGGGTTGGGACTTCAACATTTGAATTTAGGGGGACACAGTTCAGCCCATAACACCCTTCTTGTGGCGGAGCTTCTTAGCAGCCTCCTGTCTCTGGCCAGGCCTCAGAGATGGGGGCTCCTCGAGGTTCCATCCCAGGTCTCCCTCTTCTCACCCCACAGACTCCCCCTGGGTGGTGGCTGCCGGTCCTTTAGCGCCAGGTGCTCTCAATAAATGGGTAACACGCCAAGCTCCGTATCTAGTTCCCACCCGCCTCCTGAGCTCCCGACAAGCACACCCAATCGTCCCCTGACATCATGACTTGGGTCTCTCACAGGAACCTCTAATAACCTGTAAAACAGAATGCATTACCTTCTCTGTAGATTTGTTCTTCCTTTTCTGTCCCTTAGCTCTGAGAGATGGCACCACCATCTCTGTCCTCAGCTGCCCAAGCCAGGAACCTGGGGCCATCTCTTGACCTCCCTTTGCCACCTCTCCACCATCAATCACCAGGAGCTGAGCAGTCCCGACCTCTTCGTTCTCTCCATCCCCATTCCACCACCTGGTCTAGGCGCCGTCTTCCCCCAACTTGACTCTCTCCTGGTCTCCCCAGCAGTCTTGCCTGTGTCCACCATACACTCTACTCTGTTGCCAGATGAATCCACTTCCCTACTTAAAGCTTCCGGTGGCTGCCAGCTGAGCCACTTACATCTCCGGTGTCTCGTCTTGCCCCCTGTTCCCTAACACTGAGCTTCTTGCAGTTCACCCCTGGACTGAGTGAGGGCCCTGGTGTGCTGTCCCTCCCTCTGCCACTCTTACCGGTGGAGAGGAGGGGAACCAGCGCAGGTGGCCAGGGACTGATAGCAGCCTCCTTCCCTCACTTCCTCATTGGATGTGTATGGGGTCCTTGAGGGGGGGCACCTGGTGCCTCTGTCACCCATTTGTCTACCTTCTCTTTCTCTTTCCTTCTCTTTACCCTCCCACAAGGCCCAGGGAACTGGGGTGAGGTGGGGCCCCAGACTCTGAGAAGATGTCCTTGTCAGGAAGGAGCGAGGCTCTGAGCTTAGACAAGGTTGCCAACAGCTACCTTGGAGTGGGGCGTGAGAAGTGAATGAACATTTTTCAGCCACTGCCCTGAGAGACACCTGGTACTGCAGGGAAGCAAGGGCACATGGGGGTTAGGCCTTTTGGGAGTGGCTGAGACCTTGCTGTTTAAGGGGCTAATCAGCAGCAGGGCTTGTGGGTGAGATGGCAGGAGCAGCAGCAGCTCTGAGAGGCTGAGGGAGCTCCATTCTGAAAATGACCCCGGGCCTTGAGAAAGGGTCACTCATCACTGTCTTCATCCCCTAGCATTCTGACCCTCCTTCTAACCATGGCCTGAGTGGGAGGAGGGAGGCCTTAGGGGCCAGTGGGTGGGGATGGGGCCAGGGGAAGCCACATTCCTGGAGTGTTAATGATCTCCGGGCTGGGCAGGAGCTGAGCCCCCAAACCAGCTAAAAACAACAAACAGCTCCTAGGAGGGATTTGTGTCTGTCCTGAGAGTCAAAGATTTCCGCCCGGATGGGGGCTGTGGCCAGTGGGGCTCTTTCACAAAGAAATTCCCCCGAGACCAGAAGCCCCATGACCTAGAAGTATCGCTTTGAGAACAGACCCCACCCCCATCCTTTTTCCTCCCCCCACTCTCCTAGGGAGGCCCAGTGCCCAGGTAAGGGGAGGCAGCAGCCCTCCTGACACATGGGAGGCATGAGAAGAGTCTGTGTGCTCCTCACCTAGTCTCTCCAGTCCTCACACCAGCCCAGCAAGTGATGCTGCTCTTGACATTTTATAGCTAAAGACACCATGGCCCTGCTAGAGAAGGTGCTCCTTAAACATCTGAGGGAATTAAGGAGTGCATAAAGGAAATGACTGGCTGGAAGTCACAGAGTCATGTTGGGGCCAAGCTGGGACTGGAACCTGGGTTGGCCTGACCCCAACCATGGACCTCACCTCTACTACGTGGTCTCCCTGGCAATGGGAGGCCCTTAGCTGCTCCCTGCAGGGGTGGAAGAGGCTTGGAGGTCCGGGAGAAGAGTTTAGGCCTCACTCCCTCAGGAATTCTGGGGGCTGCCTAGAGGAAGAAGAGCCAGCATTGTCAGAAGGTGGCTGAGGCCTGGCCGAGGGACTGTGGAGCAGCTAGGAAGGGGCAGAGTTCCTGGGGCTAGTACCATGCACCGCTGCAGGCATGGCAACCTTTCCACTTGGCTCAAACCTTGCCTCCCTATGAAGCCTCTCTGGGCTCCCAGGCAGTCCAGAACTACCCTCCCCCTGCACTCCCCCTCCCAGTCCCCTGGAGATCAACAGTAGGAGGATCTACCCAAATCCCTGTCTGCTCAAGTTCCTTGCAGTGGGGCCCTTAGTAAAGGGGAGGGGCCTTCTGCAGAGTTCAGCCCACCCCTCTGTCCCGCTTCCTGCCCTCACATGCTCTTCCATCCTTTCCTCTCCCTTTCCTTCTGAGCCTCCCGGTGAGCCTGACTCCTCCCAGAGCCCCGGGTCTGCCCCTTCCTCAGGGGCCCTCCCACAAAACCCTCAGGCAGCCCTGGCTTGTCCTCACTGTGCTTCCGTACCCCTCTCGCTCCCACCCACAATCCACAAAGCCAAGCCCCGAGGCTTTAAATCCATCATTTATTGCCCACAGCTCATTAGTATTACATAAATCAGAGACTGAGAAATTTTCTGAGAAGGTTAAAAAGACACTGCAAAGTCTCCTTGGTGTGGCTAAGGCACGTGTGCTGGTGCCTCACTCACACCCAGCCCGGGGCTGGAAAACCACCTTGCCTCTGGTCTTTCTTCTCTCAGGGACCCCCCACCCTGCTCCCAGGCCAGGGGCTCAGGACGGAAAACAAGCCAGCTCACAATCAGGAAGTAGAAGGGGGCTGTCAGGCACCTTGCCCCAGCCGCCGTCTAGACATCTTGGGCTTCTGGTCCCCGCACCATCGGATTGTTCTCTGGAAATGGGAGAAGGGTGTCCCCGAGTCTGAGGGAATGTCTGAAGTGACCAGGAGAAGGTGGGCCAGTACACCAGGCCTAGAGAACCGGGGTGGCAGGGGTGCCCTGTGTTCTGACACAGCTGGGCCAGCTACCCCCTACCTGTGGGGCCCGGCTCAGCCTCCTCCCCAGTCATGAGCCAGTCTGTCCGCCACGTCCCTTCCTCTGGCCTCGGCTGAGTGGGGGATGGATGTTGGCAGAAAGTTTTCCCTCGTGGTGTTTTCCACAGCCAAGCCAGGGCTTATCTTAGCAGCATGGCCCACTGGACTCCCACCATCACCCTGAGCTATACAGATCCTTTGCCAATCCCCTCCCCAAAGAGGAGTCCCCCTAGCTCACCTGGAATTGCATTTGGGGGCATGACCAGAAATCATCCAGGAGACACAGTAAGTCGGTTATGAGATGCCAAGGCCGCAGGGCCGGGGCTGGGGTGGGGCTGGGCGAGGGCAGCCAGCACAGAGACGGAGTCGGAGAGACCCCATCTCTTCCAGGCCTCCAGAGGGGGTGGGAGTGGGGCTGGGGTGTGCAGTTTTGGTCTCAAGGTAAAGTGAAAGAAGAAGACAAGAACAAGACCCATAGAGAGGTGGGGCAGGGTGAGCTAGAAGAGAGCTTTTCAAAAGGGGACCCAGACGTGCCCAGCCTGTCATTGGCACAGTCATATTATGGCCGGATTAGCTCAAAAATACTTGACCCTCTCACACTGTGGCAACCGTTCCCTCCACTGTTTTGTTCTCCCTACTTGCTCTGCTTTCACGCTTTCCTGATCGGTCAGGGGGCAGGGGGTGCCGCTCCTGAGGGCACTGGGAGGGGGTCCCTCAGGGCAGCATCCTGCAGAAATAGCAGGGCCTGGCTGGCAAGTGAGGGCAGCAGGGGCTTCTGAGGGGGCGCCTGGTGTCCATGCCTGTGGAAGGCCCACGTTACCACAAGCACCCCTGCACTGAGGGTGGTGAAAGCCGCCCGTGGCCACACCCTCGCTGCCCCGCACTAGCCTTCTCCTGCACCTGTGTCACCACCAGCCACGTGTCTCCCCAGGTGGAGTCACCAGGGGAAGGGAGGCCCTGAGGCTGCAATGTTGAGGGCTCCAGTCCAGTTGGGGCCAGGAGAGGGGTCCAATGAGGCCCACGCTTCCTCTTTGTTTGCCCCGTTCCCCCTCCCTCTGCAGAGCCCCTGCCGACCTCTCCTCTTCCCAGCCCACAGGTGGGAGAAGACAGGAGCCAGCAGCAAGTGGCCCCGGAGGCGAGTGCACGGTGAGAGGTGGCATGTGGGTGTGGGGCCCCACGTAGGCACAGCCACCCACGCTATCTCCTCCTTCAGAACTGCAAAGTGTCTGGCAAAGGTCAAGTGTTCCCGGGATGTGGGCTCACATACAGAAAGGCAAGGTCCAGGTTCTGAGGCCAACTGCTGGCTGTTCCCAGAGGGGCCTGCCCCTTTCCCAGTCCAGTGTCCACACTGGGGGATGTGCCTGGGCTGGCCAGCATCCGAGCAGGACAGGCGAAGACGAGGTCCTGCTGGAAGAGCCTGTGGGAACCCCTTGCTCCAGTCCTCTGGTTCTGGACAGGGAGTAGAGGCTCAGAGAGGGGAGTGGACTTCTCCAAGGTCACACAGCCCCTTTGTACTACAGCCAGGGCCTGCAGTTTCTGGCTCGAGGCTGACTCTCAGAGTCAGGTGCCTGGAAACCTGGCCTCCGCCCTCAGGCAGAAGACCCTCCCACTCGGGAAGCGGTAGGATGGGGCAGACAGCCCCAGGGGGCCTGGAGAGGCGCCCCCCAGATGGCAGTCAGCCCTGCTCCAGCTCCAGCCCCACCCTTGGCCCAACTTCCAGCCTGGTAACTACAAGGAGGATCTTCCTGTAGAGGTCAGAAGTGCAGGCCCACAATTCCAACCAAACATCCTTCCTTCTTGGGGCTTCTTGCCTGGAGCTGGGGTCATTTCAGGGGCCTCGAATGGATCAGCAGGGTTCCATGAAGGGTGACCCCAGCCCCAGGCACTGGGCTTCATGCAGAGGGATTGGTTCTGCAGCTTGTGCGTGGATGAGGGCCAGCCACGCTAAGAGCCAACTGCCCACAAAATCTTTCAGAGGCTGCCAGTGCTCCTGACTCCCTGGGCCCCCTCCTGAGGACCTTGGTCATAGCTGCTGGTTCATCCTGTGAGATGTAGACTGCCCCCCCAGCCCCCGCCCCCGCCCCAGCCCAGCCCAGCCCAGCCTGGGGAGCCACTGGGCCTGGCCACCAGAATATCCTGAATCTATCAGGCCCGCTGCCAAACCCACCAGCCCCCAGGCCCACTCGTATGGCCACCGCCGGCAGCTGCTGCATCTGGGCAGCGGCAACCAAGGCTCAGACTTGATTCTGATAAAAAAGAAAAAGAAAAAAGAAAACCAAAGTATAAAAGGATCCTAATTCTACCCTGTGGGCACTGTACAAATATTCAGCTTCACACATAATTGTGCTGAGTAGAGTTCTGACAACCCCACCTAAGGCCCAGAAATGCACTTGATTATTTTTTATAGGAAATGTGTCAGAATTCCTCTCCCGTATGTTAACATGTGAATAGATTAGTCTCCCTTCCTCTGCGGGGGGGGGGGGGGGGGGGCGGCTCAGGACCGGTGGGGTTAGCTTGCCCCTCCCCGCAGGTGCAGCCCCAGAGACTCCATCCCCTCCCCCAACTGCCCGGCCTGGATCAAGCTCCAGCCCCAGGCCGGCGGGCCACCACTCACAGCCCCTTGTTGTACACCACTGTCCGACTACTTGTGGCCTGGGCAATCTCAGGCTCTAACTGGGATGTCTCAATCTGCGGAGAGAACAAGAACAGAGAAGACAGGTTGTGGGGGGCAGGAGGGAAGGGGTGAGCGTGGAAGCTGGGAATAGCATTAGGAGCACCCTAATGCCCACAGTTCTCCCTCTCCGCCACCTATGGACACATCCTTCTTTACCACCCTCCTGCCAAGGGGCTCAGAGTATCCCTTCCTGTCTAGGTCTTGTCTCTTCCTCTGGTGGCATGTCTGTGTGGGTGAGCATCCTACACTCTGACCTCCGAGTTGTGTCTTCCTCATCTCCAAGGGCCTTGTCCGCTGCACCGCACCACAGCCTGGGCCTGGTCACCACCCAAGGCTGCCTCACCCACACTCCGGAAATCCCAACTCCACCCTCTTGGACTCCACAGTCCCCTAGCCTTCCAGTACCCACCCCCCCACTCTCCCTACCCGTTTTTAGACCACGAAGACCTCAGGCCCCAGACTCCTGACAGCTCAGTCTTCACTCCCTCCCCCTCCTACCCGGACTCCAGGGGCCATCACTCCAGCTAATCCCTAGCCCAAAAAGTCCTTCCAGCCCCAAATGGCAGAAGCCCAGCTTTGGAGGAACTCCAACAGGCATCCACCTTCTCTCCACTTGAACTTTGACCACCTATTGGAGACCACTCAACATTCACAGCTGGACCCCCACAGTGACCAGCAAACTTCTCCCTGCCGACCACTTCACCCCATCGGCTCCTTCTCCCATTCTCCACAGACAGCCACCTTAAACCATCTCCACCCGCCTCAGCCACCCCACCCTCAGCCCCCCACTTATCCTGAGCATAAGAGCCTTCCTTCTACTTCAGAGAAAAAGCCAAAGACAACAGAAGGAACCTCCCAGCATCCCACCACCAAACCCTACCTGTCCACTGTCTGTCCACACTGCTCCACGCCTGCCCTCCTGCCACCCCTCCCCTCAGAAGGCAGCACCTCCTGGGGTCCACCGCCCCCCACACCCACTCTGGGAGCCCACTCCCGGTCTGTCCTCCTCGTCTCCCACCTTTGCAGCCCACTGACTCTTGACCATCAGCATTTCAACACTGACAAGAACCTCCCATCTGATAAGACGTCCCGTTAACCCCATGTCACGCTCCAGCAGCCGCCTGGTCTCTCTCCTCCTCAGCAACCGCATTTCTCTAAAGCACTGTCTCAACTGGCCTCTTCCACCTCCTCACCTCCCACTGACTTTTCAACCCACAGCAAATCTGGCTTCTCTTCCCACCATACTCCACAAAAATCCTTCTCTCCAAGTTCACTGCCGCCCCCAGGCTTTGTGACATCCACTGGACA